AATATCCTTCTGGGTTCAGCTCCAAATGGGGAAAAAGACACTGGAAACATGGAGACTGCTTGGAAAGATGGTTTAATGGTGGACAGGATCACATGGTTTGAGTTCCTGAACAGAAAAGGGGTGAGATACAGCGAGTCCCTGAGTTTTATGCTCTCTGGCTTTGAACTTCCTGGGGCCCCGAAAGAGTATCCTGATTGGTTGTCAGACTCCCAGGGGGTGGGGGGTCTTAGCTAGCCTTGCTGGCTGATGTAATCTTCCCAGGTGCCATGTGAGTTTCTGTCCTAGATGGGTCCCATTGTGTTGCAGATGATGGTCCATTGACAAAGATTGAGTTTCTGCCTCTGGCCCCTTAACAAAAGGGGGGAGGCAGGAAGGTGGGAGCTGCTTTGTCTTTAAAACATGCTTCTCCATTTCTCATCCAGGGAAACATAATATTCTGCCTTTTTAATGTTTCCTAAAATATTTCATTTTCCAGGAAAGGGGTGGGTGCTAACTTCCTACAAGCATAAACATGTTCATCTCAGAGATGACATGTACAATGAATTTATAATTTTTAAAATATAAACATTGCTGTTCCTATTTTGCTTTTGAAGCAGCTGCCTTAGACTAGATGGATCTTTATGCCAGTAAAAATTGAGATAATTTTGTTAAGTGATTGATGTATTAGAGGGAAAGATACTGTACATGTAGTATTACTCTTAAGATAAATTAGATGAGGAAATAATTGTGATATCAAACTAGGTCCATAAATAATGCAGTCTTAGACATTTATGGGAAATGACTGCTAGACAAAATCAAGCTAAAATTATGCTTATGTGGTACATACCCTGCACAAATAATTATAAATAATTCAGAGACAAGGAGAAAACATAGTAAGTTTTGGTGTAAGTAAAGTCAGATGTAGTAGTAATTTATTACAACACCTCTGATAACAGAAAATACATATCTAATAATATGCATGTTAGCATTTTAACAGGAATTCTTAAATGTCAGTTCAATAATGAAACGATTGAGCCCCTTCTCAATAACTTTAACCACTTGAGATTTAAATACATTCTTCTTTTCTATGAAACTTGTAAAAAGGTGGACCCCTCCTCCACACCCAAAATAATGTGCTTTGCTAGCTAAAAATATGGTGCCCTTTCTTGCCAATAAACTTGAAAGTGCATCATGGAAAGCTTCATAGTAATTAGGATTATAAATAGTTTCTGATGTAAGTATGAGATCGTATTTTATTAAAGGTTTGGTGTTATTTAAAATAAATGTAGTAAATTCTGACCATTCCCCAGAAAAAAACTTGCATTTAGAGAGAAAATCTTGGGTGGAATCTTTTTTCCTAGATTGACTTAGTTGAAGCTGGGTATCTTCCTCACCATCATCATTTTGAGAATTAGCCAGTATGTTCGGCATGGTGATTCCTTCAATTACTGAACTGTTATAATCTTGAAAATGAACTTCTTTGGCATTTCCTTTTAATGCAACTATTCCTAGCAGTCCAGCTCCACACCCAAGGTCCAAAACTGACTTCTGTGCAAACTGAATATCTGTTTCTGATAAATAATCCAGGAGATCAAAAGTGCATTCCCAAATCTTTAAACCTCCCTCATAGACACCTGTAATGAGGTCAGATTGAGAAGAAGTGTTAGACATAATGTTTTCTTTGACAGAGTTTCCTGGGAGTGCAGTCTCCACCACATAAATATTTGCATGACTAATGCCTGGTAAAGTTCCAATAGTTTTGTTCTCAAGGACTTTACTGACATCTTTAGGAATATCATGCACCTTGGCAGATTTGGGACAGGACTGTTTCAATAAACTTGTATCAGGTCTTGCATTCAAAGTACTATGGTCTGATATATTAGCAATGGTTCCAGATAAATAGTTTAATTTATTTTCTTCTGAAGTAATCTTAATGCTGTTTTCTTGATTATTCAATAGGACCGTTTCCTGCTGTAGCTTTTCATTTTCAGCAGTATCTGTTCTGTTTTCTGCTATTTTGTCCACAGAGAAGTTGAATTGAAATTCCATTGTCTTGAGAAATAAACAGAAAAAAATAAGTTTATGTCTGCAGTATTAATATGCAAACACACTGATTTTGGTTGTACTTAAAAAGAAATGTACAAAGCTTACTTGTTATAGTTTCCATTATTTCTAATATCCTTACAAATGTATACAGTATATATATATGTTTCTTAACAATACTCATAAATGCTACACCATCCTGTGGTTTCTCTGATTATGCCTTCGAGTGTTGAAAGGAATCCCAGAGAGTCAGGAATCTTTGTTGTCCAGGAAAAAAGATGCCAGATTTGAGGCAAAATTAATTTGTCCCCAAATCTAATCCAGTTTCAAGAATCTTTTTCACAGCGTTTCCAAGAGCAAAAGGAACACAACATAACCAAATCTGACACACCAAGTACTTCCCTGCCAAGTATTACCTTCATTTTGCAATCCCCCCTCCCCCCCCCGACACACACACACACGTTTTTCCTTCCAGGAGCAGCCTAATTCCCACACAATACAGAATCCTTTCCCCCACAACCTCGTGAAGACTAAACCTCGCACGGGAGGAGGAGGAGGAAGCCTCTAGCCCACGGCAGGGAAGCCCGTCGACAGAGCGGAGAGGCAAGCCGGCGGCTGAACAAGCGAAAGCCCACGTGGCCCAGGCGGGAGTCTCGTTTTCCAAAGGCTTTCCAGAGCGGCTCCATCGCAGGACTAGCCCGCCCTAGAGCTGGCTCTATGATCCCCGCGGTGTTTGATGGGAATCGCGCTGAGCGGAGGAGGAGGACCTTCGCTTCTGGCGGCAGATACGGATACATGAGCGGCATGTCTCAGGCCGAGCCTGAGGAGATGTCGCTGTTGTCGGAGGTGGAGGGCTGGGATCCAGAGGCGTGCCGTCGCCAGCTCTCCGCCGCCCTGCCGCGCCTTTTCATATCCTTCTCAATTGCATAGCCGAGGCGCGGGGGCAATTGGGAATGGGAAAAGGAAAGGGGCCCCCTCCCCTTCCTTCAATTTGTCGTAAGGTTATCCTTCTGCCGGCGTTTGTGATGGTCAGTGGTGGTCTCGGCCCTTTCCGTATGTCTGCTTGCAAGCCAGTCAAATTTTGCTCGCAGCGGGCTAAGGCTAGAAAGGAAGCGCTCTAAGTGTGGGAAATGAAAACTGACCGTAGGAAACGTAGGTAAAGCCTTCCGCTCAGCAGTTTCTCAAACGCAGCATCCTGAGGATTAAATATGTATATTTCTTGAGTTTGTTTTTCGTTCCTTTTCCAAAGACAGCGGCTTTGGAAAATGAAAAAGAAACCTATACATTATTTTAAGATGAACTGCCAAAATTCTAGAATATTTTTACAGATAAGAATAATCAGAAAATCATTGATAATAGTTATTAAGATAATATGAGTAATTATTGCCAAATTTATTTGAATTATCCATAACTGTAGAGTTTAGTAGTTTTGTGTTAATTTGGAGGAACCAAATACTTTTACCACCGTTTAAACTACCAACAAAACATATGGTTTCATTTTTCAGTTGGTTGCAATGACAAATTCTGTCTGATTTTAAATCAAAACTGATTCCTCCTCTCTAGGCCTGGAGGATCCTGGCGTTTCAGTTCTTTGTGTTGATATACATCCTTTGCTCTCCAAGCAACAGACATTTTTATTTGGAAGTAGTAATCTCAATTGGTGTAGCCAGTATAGCTTAAGCTGTACTGTTGTTTAGTTGAAAGCTGAACCTTTAGTATATATTGTGAATTAAATGAGTGTGCTCAGATGTTGATAAAGTTCAACTTTATTTTTATTTATTTATTTATTATTTTTATTTATTTTAAGATATGAACATGCTATTTTTCTTAATATTTGTACTCTTTATATCAGGCAACTGACAGTGGGATTGAGCATATATGTAAGTAGTTACTGTACAGACTTTTAAAGTATGCTTAATTCCTTTATTATTTGTATTTATTAAATTCTATGAATATGCACAAAGCAGGTTTATTTTTTATAAATGAATGAATGAATGAATGAATGAATGAAATAAATAGGTTTATTTTGAACCCAGATCAAATCACTGTGTTCTGGAGGTTCTGCAAAATTGTCTCAGGTCAGTCATAATTCATCATAACATTTTGGTGGTTCCAAGCTATGGATGACATAAAATCTGGGCAAGGCAAGCAGACCAAAGCTGTTGCTTTTCTATCTTTGTATCTCCCAGGAGGTATATCTCACCTGCCATCTGCTCTGTGGACACTGTTATATTTATGTCAGCAAGGCTTTTTCTGGAATCACCCTGCTTATAGAAATTCAGAATTTCTCAAATGAGCATCTAAATATGAGCGCTTAGAGCCACCAACCAAACCAAACTATTCTGTCAACCATCTCTTGCTTCCTTCAGTCAGTGATACTGAAGAAACTGTAAATGTATTTATACTAGCTTTTTAGATCTTCCTAGTTAAATGTTTCAGAGAAAATGGAAGATTTTTCAGCAGCAAAATATTCAATAAAGGAGAATTTTTGTAGCTCAGGTTTGAAATGAGTGGTCCTTAGTGTTCCCTGAGCTTGATTGTTTTCTTGCAGATGTTTCATTACCCAAACTAGGTAACATCATCAGTACTAGTCATGGATGATGTTCTCTTGTTTGAGTAATGCAGCGTCTGCAGGAAAAAAGTTCAGAGAGCACCAAGGACTCCTCAGAAAAGTATTCTCTGGCAATACATTAGTTATATTTACTGTATGGGGAAAGGACAAATTCTAAATATAATTTCAAATTCTAAGCATAAAATGGTTATCTAGAACTTTGCTTAATACATGAAGAATATTACTTATTTCTCAGACGATTGCAGCTCCATACTTCAGTATCCCTGGTTTCTGAAAAGATGTTGCTTTTTTTGCTGGATCGGGATGCTTAGAATTGCAGTCTTTTTTCATTCTCATTATTTTGGCTTCCTCACCTATAAATTATTTTCTTTTTCTGGAAACTTACCTTAGGCAGCAATAAACTTCACAAAGTTTGTCTCGGAGTGTTGGATTTTCAAATGGAGAAGCTTTTACAAGTTATCACACTTCCTGCTGAGCCTGTTGATTTTTCTTATGGGGGGAATCTCTATGGAATCACAACTACAGCTTCCATTACTTGGATCAAGAAGGGAACCTCTCTTGCAACATTCATACAAACTCTGCTCTCATATACAGAAGACTACTGAGCACCTTCTGGGTCAGTGTAGGAAGGGGAAGGGCCAGCATGAGAAAAAAGGGGAGGAAAATGCACCACTGTAACAGAGGCTTACACAGGCATACTTGCCCCAAGTATGAAACATACTCCTCCTTTTTTTTAAAAAAAAAACATACACTCTTATTAGAAAAAAAAAGAGACCAAACAGAAACATACTTATAATCAAATATATACAAAACTATATATAAAAAGTGCTTAAAAATGAAAAGAATGCAACAGAAAAAAGAAAGTATATATCACTGTAGCGATTAATAATAAAACATAACTTAAAAGATAGCAGCAACAATAAAGCAGATCTGTCCTAAAATGCAATGATTTTTACAGTATTTACAGTAAATAATGATACTGATTTATTAGGAAATATGTTTGTTATTTTCTCTTCCAGCCTGTCGTGCCATCCAATTAAACGGGAAATATTGGTAATAATATTAGTTAAAAATCTGTTTAGTATTTGTGGTTAAAAGCTGTAAAATGTCACATTGAGATCTAAGCCTTGGATTTATGGTTTTATTAAATTTACTTATTTACAGATATCTTAAGAATTCTGACAGAGAGATTTCTACCTCACATAAAACTTTCAGAATTGGAGAAAGTTTTTTTCTCCAAAATATTCCCTAAGGTATGATATTGTATATTATGAGCTGAAAAGTGTGAATTAGTAACTACTATGTGTATGTGTGCGCACACCTTTCAATCCATCTTGCCTTCCTGGACAAGTTTTTGAAGTTTTCTTTGCAAAGTTTTTCAGAAGTGGTTTGCCATTGCCTCCTTCGTAGGGCTGAGAGAAAGTGACTAGCTCAAGGTCACCCATCTGGCTTTGTGCTTAAGACAGGGTTCATAGTCTCCTTGTTTCTAGCCTGGTGCATTAACTACTACAAACTGGCTCTAATAACTACTGGCTATGTTGATAGTCCTCTACTTACAATCTTTCATTTAGATCAATGAGTCTGTCTTCCCTACTTTTTTTTCTGTTTTCTTTATTGAAGAAATCTGGGTTTCTGGTGTATCGGTAGGGAGGGGATTTTAGGAAGCTCTTGCCTATCCATCTATGCAGGTGGCTGGCTTCTTCAAAACCTTGCAAGAGCCAGGAAAGGTTTGCAGTCTCCCTATGGCCAGCTAATCAGGGTAGAGGCCCAGCCCACAAGTGTGGCTTCATCGCCGAAGCATGGAGGCTTGTTTAGAAGACTTGGGATGCAGTGCTAGACACTAATCTAACTGGGTTCCTCCGCCTGCTGGACTGTTTTTGGCTTTGCAATTTTTTTGTTGCTTGTCTTCCTCCTTTAAGGATCCAGCTGGGTGTGGGCCTCCCAGGGATGGCTCCAGTCATGAGGTACCCATGCTCGCTTAAAGACCCATGTATTCATTTAAGTTCAGCATCAGAGAAAGCAAGAGGTGAGGGCCATTAAGCGGGGTTGTCACCACTTGCAACAGTAATGGGCAGGCTCCATTATGGTCATAGATGGATGACTACCTATATGCTTCTTTAATAAAGAAGGCTATGTAAATATCTATATACAATATAAAAGGTTATTGTGTAATCAACAAATTTTAATTTAGCTAAGTATTGACTGAAATCTAAAAAGGCTATAATAATTCATATGCAACTGGAGTTTTGTTTTGTTTTTGCTAGCTGTCCCCCTATGGCCTCTTGACCCTTTTCATTCTCTGCCCAGTTGTGTGTGAAATTTGGAGCTTCTATTATAGTACTGTTCTATTGCATTGCAAGAAAAGAAAAGATGGGACTTCTGTCCCCTAATGCTCATGCTCTTTAGATCTTAGTTTCTTTCTAGAGAACCTCTGGAAGAACTTAAATAGGACATCTTAATTCAGTGCCTGCTAATATGAAGGGGTTTTTTTTGTTTGTTTGAGTGTCCTTGCTGATAACCACTGCATACCTTGAATATCTCTTGTATTATTAAAAACTATCAAGGGTAGTAAATGTCATCCCATTTTATAACAAATCACAGTGCTTTGTATGTATTTAATTTATTGCTTTCAGTTAATATTGTTTCAATTGTGATTGTTTTTGTTCAAGCAGACCATAGAATTATTTGACCATTTATTATATGAAATATCCGCTGAAGCCAAAAGTTTGACAAACAAGAATGTACAGTTAAATATGACATTGAGAAACCATCTTCAGGTAAATCTAGCTTGAAGAATTGTCCATGTCTTGTTTTTCTATAATTTTAAGATTTTGGGAGCTAATTTATACCTACAAAAAGTAAATCCACTGAAAATACATGACCAGTTGCTGCTTTTCTCCTGTTGCATATAATGTGTCTGTGGCTGTTTAAAAGGCATCTGTATTCCCAAAAGTCAATTGAAAATTGTCTTGATTTTTAGCAAAATAAAAACCGAAATGTGCTGAACATTTTCTGCAAATTTTTATTTATATTTGATGTGCTTCTGCCTATTCTCATCCAGGCTGAAAATATAAGGAGAACCATTAATGCTGTATGCTTTGAAATAAAACATAGAATTATAGGGTTGGAAGGAACCTTGTCGGTCTTGTAGTCCAATCCCCTCCCCATGGCAGGAGATCCTGTACCATTCCAGACAAATGGACACAAGTTCCTAGTGTGATGCCAAACTTCCACAGTCTAGATTTTGCTTTCATGTTGTGAAGATAACCAGATGTAAATATCTTTATAGACTGAAATAAATATAATTGATGAGTAATCTTCCAATTTTTCAGTAACAACCCCCCCCATATATATAACTACTAAATATAATCTATATAATCACTAAAACTTTCATGTCTATAACCTTTAACTGAATGAAACTGCATAGGCTCAAGGTTGACTCAGCCTTCCATCCTTTCGAGGTAGGTAAAATGAGGACCCGGATTGTAGGGGCAATAAGCTGACTTTGTATAAAAAAGAACACCGCTTAGGGGGGGCCGAAAGCCCTACTAAGCAGGTATATACAAAAGTATGAAGGCTATTGCTTAAAAGCATTGTAAGCCGCCCTGAGTCTCCAGAGAAGGACGGCATATAAATCGAACCAATAAATAAATAAATAATAGGGCAATAATTTTTGAATAAAGATACCCCAAATGGGCTTAGATTACAGAATGTATCCATGACTCCTGTGGGATTGAAATTTAACAAATTTGTGGCTCTTCAGTACTGCCATACTGCCACCCAGAGGTTCAGCAGACCAGTCATGCCCTAGTCTTCCAGAGGTGGGGTAGACCAGTCCTACCATTGGCTGCTGGAGGGCAATCAGCTGTGGTCAAGCCAGTAGGAAGTTGGAAGTTGTTCCTATTCCCACCATTGTTTTTCCCTTGGTTATTCTGTTTAGGTAAGGAGATATCTTTTAAATGACGACCCAGCAGATCTTAGGTTGTCTAGTAATTTGCTAATAACTTAGACATATAATTTCAGAAAAAGCAATTAATTGCAACTGCTATTTTTTTTTTCCTGGATTGCTGGATTTTTCAGATGAATGTTTTTCTGCCCAAGGCAGCTATATTGTTAAGACAGACTTATTAATGCAGATTGAACCTGCCACTGAGCTAATAAAAATTATTTTTTTCATACATATTCTCAAGTTTAAACATTCTATTTTCAAAGAAAGAAACAAAACTATTTTGATCTTTGTTTAGTATATGGCAAATGCTAGATGATCTTTGTAGAATGGCTAAATATACAGATATATATATATATTAAAACTTATTAAAACATTGATGTCCAAAGTATTTAGTTTGTTTTTCTCTTTTTTGAAGTCAAAATTTAACAGTTAAAATGATAATTTTTAAGACATCAGATTTCTGCTGCAGTATTCTTTTTGCAACATTTATTGATTCTTTTATTAATAGTATTTTTTTTCTTACAGGCCCTCATACATATGTTAGAAGTATTAACAGATTGTGTACAACACATCTGTAGTAGACAGGAGATGGTACCCTTAGAACATGTCTATTGCCTTCCCTCTTCTGTTCTTCATGTAATCAAGAACACATTTCTACACTGCAAGGTTAGTGAGGCTATGTTTTGAAAATGAACTGAAAGATACAAAACTGGAGAAGCAAATTAATACTAAAGTCATCTTTAATTCTTAAAAACTGAAGTTGCAAAGTTAATAGGAACAGATTATATGATAGAATCAATTTTATTATTGTAATTATACATGGTAAAAAATAAAATAATCCCATCTAAAGCACAAAGTAAAAGGTAAAGATATATGCTAAAAATCACTTTTGAAAGGTAGTAAATGAATTTTTAAAATAAAATAATTGATTTCAGTTGTGCTTTGATGCATGCTTTTCAGGGGTGGGTTTTAAATTTTTTTACTACAGGTTCTGTGGGCGTGGCTTATTTTGTGGGTGTGGCTTATTTTGTGGGTGTGGCTTGGGGGTAATGTGACGGTGGGCGTGGCCAGCTTTTTTTTTTTTACTTTTACTTTTACTTTTAAAAGCATTTTTCCTACAACCTTAAGAGGTTGCAGAAAACAATGATTTTAGAAGCTTCTGACAATCAGGCAAATCAGCTGGGATCGCCAGAAGCTTTTAAAGGGATTTTTTTTCCTACAACCTCCTCGGCTGCGGAGGTTGCAGGAAAACAATGATTTTAGAAGCTTCTGACAATCAGGCAAATCAGCTGGGATCGCCAGAAGCTTTTAAAGGGATTTTTTTTCCCTACAACCTCCTCGGCTGAGGTTCCCTGGCGGCGTAGGCGCAGCGGCCCTGGCTGGGGAAAGGAGGCACCAGCTGTGAGGCCACTTTGCAAAGGCGCACCTGCGCTGTGCGGCGCCTCCTGCGCTCTCACCTGTTAGATCTGTCCGGACACCATCGCCGCTGTCGCCGCTGCAGCCACCGGAGCCTGTCCGGCGCCAGCGGGGAACTTTTTCAAACTTGGCCCAGCCCCACGGAGGAAATGCGGCGTGCATCTCGCGCCCTTTGCTGGCTCTCCGAACCAGCCAGAGCCCGGAAAGCCCCTGTGGAAAACTTGCTGTCTTTGCCCCACGGGTTCCGCACAATGGCCCTTGCAGGTAGACCCAGGGCCCTAGGAAGATCGTGGGGATGCTGGGCCCTGCATGCCCAGGTGAGTCGTGTTTGGCGCCGTGGGCGCATCACGGGGGTGGCGGCCTCTGGGGCAAGTTTCGCCTTCTGCTCTGCTCCCATGTGTCTGGGGCGGATGGCTTATCCCTCAGTCGAGCCGGCTAAGAGGCAGCGTTCCTCTTTCTGCCATCCTCGAGCTCAGCTCCAGGCAGCGTCCAGCCAGCCATACCTGGCTTCTCACTGCGGCAGCCCATGTCGATCCCAGGCAGCGGAACTTCGGGGCCTTTCCTCATGGTGGAAAGGCCCCATGATGAGGCAGGCAGGCAGCCGGGTGCATGGGAGCGACTGGCGGCAGCGCTTCTGGCTGGCAAAGGACGGAGTGAGTCCCAGGGCTGCATGCAGGCAATGACAGTGGGCGGGGTAAGCGACTGGTGACCGGGCCGGGAACCGGTTCGGGGGCGTGGCCAATCAATCTTATTACAGGTTCTCCGAACTATTAAAATATTTTACTACCGGTTCTTGCGAACCGGGAGCAACCCACCACTGATGCTTTTGCTTCTGTTGGCAAAAGTGAAATTAAGATTACTGCAGACCAGCATCTTCATTCTTGTCATTACATTTTAAGTGTAATTTATCATGAAACTTCGATGCAATATAAATTAAGATTTAATACAAGAACATTAGTGTATAGAAGGTGCAAACCATTTTAAATTTAAGTGTAAACCATTTTTAATTCAAAAAGTTTTTCTGACCTTGCCGAAAGTATTCTAATCTTAAATTTTTCAATTCAAAGTGTTTTTATATTGCTAAAAAAGTATTTGATTTTACTATAAAATAACATATAATCCCCAATATTTGCTTGTGTGCTTTGAAATCAGTAGAAGCATTGAGAAATTTGGTGTGTAATTTAATTCCATATTGTGCACATTGATATCTTCATAAAAAATTCTCCCAAACACTCATGTTTTAACAGCTACAGATAATATGAAAGATGAAATTACCTGGATTATTAATTATTGAATAGATGCTTCCAAGTTTCTTGGACCATACCAACTGCTGATCTAATAATCTAATAATTTTATCTTTGAATTTCTATTTTGCTACAGAGCAGTGAATCTTTATATGCAGAGTGTCTCCACGTGGTTTCTGATTTACTACAGTCTTTGTTTAAGGGGACCTATGGTTTGCAAAAACAGTTTATGATGCTAATGGATATTTTGTCTATAAATTCCTGTGCTACTGAAGACAGCATAAGAATTATGGCATCAGGTGTGTATTTTTAAATAGATCTCACTTTATTGATACATGGCACTAAATGTCCAAATGCTCTCCTCTTTGATGAACATTGATGTTAAAGAAATGAAATTTCATGAAAGTAATAGAAAGGCTTCACTGACTATATATTTAACATAGCCATCTATTGTATTCAATATTGACTTTTTCTTGCATTTAATTTTTATATTTATTTCCTCTATAGTGATTCACACTATGCTGGAGATCTGTTCTGCTATTTCCAGCATAGATCATGCACTTCATGCAAACACATGGAAGTTTATAATCAGGTAATTTTAAGTTATCAATTTTATTAATTATGCAATCGAAAGTTTATTTTTTTTAATTTTAAAACAACCTTTTAAATACAAAAAGATAAATTATCACATTAACTACATACATTGTAAAATATGAAATAAAGAAAGATAAAAGAACAGTAAGAAAGAGAGAGAAAGGGAAAGAAATAAAAAAAAAGAGACACAAAAGAGAAAAAAGAAAAGAAAAGAAAGAAGAAAATACACACAATATAACAATACAAACTACAATATATATATGTATACGTTATTGATGGTGTCTGTTTGTTAATTTTGTTATCTTACAAACTTTGTTTTTGATTTATCCATTCATGCCATTTGTTCCATACCATATAATATTTCGAGTCTACCTTGTCCTTTAATTCTAGTGTTAACCTGTCCATTTCAATGCAATTGTAGATTTTTTGAATTATTAATTGTTCTGTTGGAATTTGATCCGTTTTCCAAAGCTGAGCAAATGCCAGTCTGGCTGCCGTAATTACATGCAGTATTAAATATTTTATTTCTTTCCTAATATTTTCTCTAATCATACCCAATAAGAAAAGTTCTGGCTTAAATTCTATTTCTTCTGTCGTTATTTCCATTAACCAAATTTTTATTTTTTCCCAATATTTTTTTGTTTTTGGGCAAAGCCACCAGACGTGGAAGAAAGTCCCCTGTACCTGTTTACATTTCCAGCAAATTGGGCTGAGGTTGGGGTACATCTTAGCCAATCTCGAAGGGGCCAAGTACCACCTGTACCACATTTTGTACTGATTTTCTTTATAAACTACAGACCTTGTCATAATCTGGTTGGTTTCCCACACCCTTTCCCAATCTTCCAACTATATATTATTTCCAACATTTCTCGTCCAGGCTATCATTTGTCCTTTTACTATATCCTCTGCGAAATCAAATTTTAATAAATATTTATAGATTTTTGAGATTAATTTTTCTTCTTTGGGTTCAAATAATTTATCTAATCAGTTGGGGTTTAATTCAATCCCTCCTTCCTCTTGATCTTTTTTATACCTTGTTTGAATTTGCAAATAAGGCCACCAGTCCATCTCAATACCTTGATCTCTAAGCTCTTGTCGCATTTTTAATATTCCCCGGGCGTCTAATAATTCCTTATATCTTATTATTTTCTGGGCTGTCAATGTGTTGGGGTGCATTGTCGCCTCCATTGTGGATATCCAACTGGGAACTTTCATTTAGTGTTTGTTTTTGATTTCTTGCCAAGTGCCAATTAATGAACCTCTTATTATATGATTTTTAAAATGTTTATATGTTTTGTTTCCAGAGTTCCATATGAAGGCGTGCCACCCCTTCAGTAGGTCATGTCCTTCTAGTTTTAATAATCTTTGGTTTTCCAAATTAACCCATTCTCTGAACCATGTCAAACTCGTCGCTTTGTAATATTTTTCCCACGCTGGTAATCCGAATCCTCCTCTGGTTTTGTCGTCCTGTAAAATACTTAATTTTATCCTTGGCTTTTTCCCCTCCCATACAAATTTTGAAGTTATTTTATTCAAGTTAGTGAAAAAGTCCTCCTCTAATTTTACTGGAATGGTTTGAAATAAATAGAGGAGTCTCGGCAATACGTTCATTTTTATCGCCGCAATTCTTCCTAAAAGTGATAATTTTAATTTCCCCCATTTTTCTAGGTCTTTTTTAATGTGTTGTAGTAAGATTTTGTAGTTGTTGTCCTTTATAGCTACATTTCTAACTGTCAAATTAATACCTAAGTATTTCACCATTTTAACTGCCTGTAGTCCTGATTGATTTTCTAATTCTCCTATTTGTTTATTTGTTACATTTTTGGTTAGCATTTTGGTCTTATCTTTATTGATTTTTAAACCTGCTACTTTACCGAATTTCTCTATCTCCTTTATTAGTATTGATTCTCTTTCTAATGGATCCTTTACAAAGAATATAAGGTTGTCTGCAAATGCTTGGCCCTTGTATTCTTCTCTTTTTTACCTTTAATCCTTTTATGTGTTTATTTGATCTAATTCTTATAAGTAGGTTTTCCAGTGTTAAGATATAAAGTAATGGTGAAAGTGGACATCCTTGCCGTACTCCTCTATTTATTTTAAAAGAATTTGTACGATCCCCGTTAATTAAAATACTTGCTCTTTGTTTTGTATATATTGAGGCTATCGTTTTTTCAAATTTCTTGCCAAATGTCATATTTTTTATTTGTTGTATCATAAATCGCCAATTAACCCGATCAAAAGCCTTTTGTGCATCCAAAAATATCAGAGCTACCTTTTTCTCTGGATGCACCTCATAATATTCTATTACATTAATTACGGTTCTTATGTTATTTTTTATTTGTCTTGTTGGTAGAAATCCATTTTGGTCTGGGTGTATTCTGCAATTCAGTATTTTTTTTACTCTATTTGCCATTATGTTCATGAAGATTTTATAGTCAGAGTTTAATAACAAAATTGGTCTGTAGTTTTTTATCTGCGTTACATCTGCTCCTTCTTTCGGGATTAGGGAGATATATGCTTCCCTCCATGAGTCTGGTAGCCTTGACTCTTTTAATGCCTCATTATAAATTTCCAACAAAATCCAATTTAATGATTCTCCTAATCTTTTATAAAATTCAGTTGGTAGCCCATCTGTCCCCGAGGTTTTATTGTTTTTCTGTTTCCTAATTGTTTCGTTTAATTCTTCTATTGTAATATCTCTATTTAATATCTCTTTTTCTTTTTCTGTTATTATCGGCATACCCTCCCCGTTTAAGTATTGAGTTATTTCTTCTACCGCTACTTCATCCTGCTTATACAGTTCTTGGAAAAATTGGGTTGCTATTTCTTTTTTCTTTTCTAATCCCTGTTGTAATTTACCTTCCTTATTTTGTAATTGATGGATTATTCTTTTCTCCCTCTCTTTCCTTAATCTATAGGCCAACCATCTCCCTGGCTTATTTGCGTGTTCAAAATGGTTTTGTTTTATAAATTTTAATGCATTCACATATTTTTCTTGTTCTAATAGATTCAATTTGTGTTTGGCTGCTATCCAATTACCTCATATGCTCATCTCCAGTCTTATCATGCAATTTTCCTTCCCAATTTTTAATCTCTTCTTGTATTTCATTATATTCTTTTTCCTTCTCTTTTTTTCTTTTGGCATTATATGCTATTATCAATCCTCTAACAAAGGCTTTTGTAGTATCCCATAAATTCTGGAGGGATGTCTGATATTTATTATTATCCTTAAAGAACCACTTTAATTCTTTTTCCATTTTTTCAGAATATTCTTTTTCTTTCAGTATCTGTATGTTCATAATCCATCTACTTCTATTCCTTCGTCACCCTTTCCATTCCAACATTACCGGATTGTGGTCTGCCCAGTCATTTAAAACTATTTCTGCTGTTTCTATTTCCTGTATCAATGTTTTAGTAATCCATGTCATATCTATTCGGGACCAGGATTTATGGGGATTAGAATAGTATGTATATTTTTTCTCTTCTGGATTATAAAATCTCCAGATGTCTACTAAATCCAATTCTTCTATTAAATTTGTAAATGTTCTATGCAGTACGGTTTTCTTTTTTTTATTATTCTGGTCGCTCCTATAATCTTTTTTTATGTCCACAATTGTGTTAAAATCGCCAATCAGGCAAATATACTCCATATTTTGTTCTAATATTTTTTCATGCAGTTTTTGATAAAATTCTTTTTGTCCGCTGTTTGGTGCATAAATAACCACTAATAATACATTTTTATATTTAACTTTTACTTCATCAAAATTCTTCCTATCGAATCTGCATACTTCAAATTGCTTTCTATCTCTTCCTTAATATATACTACTATTCCTCTTTTCTTTTCATCTGCTAACGATACAAATGTTTTTCCTAATTTTTTACATTGTAGATATTTTTCGTCCTGTTTTCTTACATGTGTCTCTTGAAGACATACAATATCCATTTTTTGTTTAATTATTTTCTTAAAAAATTGTCCCGTCCTCTTTTTCCTGTTACTTCCTGTCCTTCTTCTTTGCTCTTGTCTGTACTCCTTCTTCCTCTTGGATTTCTCCCTCTTCTTCTTTATATTTCCCTCCTCACGTACCGTTTCTTGTCCTTCTTGTCTTTGTTTTTCTTTGACTCTCCATTCCGGCTCTTCTACTGTTTGTTCCTTCAGTGCCTGTCATCTGATCATGTAAAGATTGTGCTTTGTCTTGCGAATCAACTTTTATTTTTTTCCCCTGCCACGACACCAACATCCCCTCCAGTATTATCCATCTAAATGGTATTTGTTTCTTATTTAGTATCGCGGCTAGGAACCAGTAGTCTTTTCTCCATTCTCTTATTCTTTTTGGTACTTGTTTTAATGTAATTATTTCTTTCTATCTGTAATACATAGGTTCTTCTTTTGTTATTTTAAAGACAATGTCTCTCACTTTCTGTCGTACAAATTGTACATGAACCTCTCGTGGCAGTTTATGTTGTCTCGCATAGTTCGTATGTACTCTGTACCAGGGTGGATTTGATTTAAATCAAACTGATTTAAATCACGATTTAAATCATGATTTAAATCACTAGTCAGTAAGGCTTGATTTAAATCATAGTTTTCTACATAAAGACTAATTCTTGCTGGTATAACTTTAATATGCAAGTAGATGAAGATTTTTAGAATAACAACTTTTCATATTAGTTTTTTTATCCCCAGTTTAATAGGTTAATCATTCATATTTGGACAACTTTTCTGTTGTACTTAGGAAGGAGAAAAATAATCATTACCTTAATAATAACAATTTAAATAGATTTATTCAACTGAAACAATAACATTACAGCATATGTTATTTGCTTAAACAAACATCCATGTTTGTTAACTAATTTGGCTAAACAAAATATATATATTTTAAGAAACTTAGACTGTCAGCCCAGCCTACACATGAAAAACTTAAATACTGTCCTCTGTAGCTCACTCGTCATCTTCATCTTCTTCTTTGTTCATAATCTGGAAAAGAAAAACAAGCTTTC